TACTAGAAAATACACGAGTTGCACCAACATGACCTCCATAAAGGAATTTTCCAGGAAAGAATTCATGCAATGTGATAGTCTTTCGGAACTTCGGCGATAAGGTACCGTTAATCTTCTTGCTAATAGAAGATTTGATAATTCTTGGTGTTTGTAGCTATTCCATATCGCTCATTTTTGCTCTTGGCTTCGGAAGTCGTAGCCTCGTAATTGCTTGATGTTTTCGTTTCTTGTGAGTGACTAGAGTCCAACCCTCATCATCTTTGTCTTTGGACTCAGTGTCCAGCTCTAGTGAACCTTTAAGAGTTTTCCTTGGAAGATCAACTTCAACGGGCTCGAAACTTCCAAATTGTAAGAGTGCAGTGCTTGACACGTTCTGCAACCTTGAACACTTCTTTTCCTTGAGGGCGGCACTTGCATGATTTGCTTCTGCTGTTTCATCTATGTCTATGATGATTTTTCTTTCACTTACAAGAGCCATGATTTTCTCCTTCAAGAGCAAGTATTTTTCTGTAGGGTGGCTAATGACGCGATGAAACTTGCAGTATTTCGGATCGCCAACTTTACCAATTTCCTCAGGCCTTTTTGATTCAGGGAGATCGATGACTTTCTTGGCCAGCAATTCATCAAGGATTGTGGGTACGTCTGAATCTAGAAACGGATAAACCTTATCCTCGAATTCCTTCAAAGTGGGACGACGTTTCTCCTCTTTGGGATATTGACTCGCGGTCTTATCCTCCTTCACCTTTTGCTTGGTCGTGGCTTTCACAGAAGTTGCTTTCACCGCCATAGATTCTTTGGTTTGGTTCTTTGATGCAACATTTTTCTTGAACTTCTTCTGATCAGCAAATGGAGATGCCTTTCCATAACTTGCGATGCTTAACTCCATGTCGTGCGCTCGCGTTGCAAGTTCTTCAAAAGTTCGCGGTTTGATCCCTTGTAGGATGTACAAAAGGCCCCAGTGCATTCCTTGAATGCACATCTCCACATCAGATACTTCTGAAAGCGATCCTTGCAGTCGAAACTTAACGCTCTCCAACGATTGATGTTGTCACGACCCAAAACTAACCCCTGTTGTGATGGCGCCTATCGTGGAACTAGGCAAGCCGATAATTTCAAGGTTATTTAACATAAAAACCTTCGTAAAGGAGTTCCAATCAAAATAAAAGTGCGGAAGGAAAAGCCTGACATCGGGGTGTCACTAGTCATGAGCATCTACTACAATCTGTCTAATAATATCAAGGCTAACTCAGCCTGGAAAATAGCTAAATACAACTAGAGGAAGATAAAAGGGAGAACAACAGGGGTTGCGATCGCCAAACAGCTACCTTGCTATCTCCAAGAAAATCTGCAACCAGAACACTCAATAACCGCTACCGTGTCCAGCTACACCTGAATCTGCACACAAGGTGTAGGGAGTAACGTGAGTACGCCAACTCAGCAAGTAACAACAATAAATAAAGATTGAGCAGTAGTGACAAGCAATAAAGCATATAACGTTCATATCATGTAATCTTAGTAAAGTACAACATGCTTTAAAAATCAGTATTTGAATCAAATCATCTCGTTTAAACCCGGTTCCAGTAAAAAAAATCATTTAAAGATATTTTTCCAACAGTTTTAAAAAATCCGGGGTTTCATACCCTCAGGACTAGATTTACAATCGTTACTTACCTCAAACCGGTCAAATCTCTACCTCGCAATGCTCTTGCCTCTGGACTCGGCCTCCAAATGCTCCAAATCTATTCACAATCAGTACAATACCATCAATATACGCTAATGGAATGAATTCCACAAGAAAAGCTTCAAAATTAGACCAAAACCCGAAATTGGCTCAAACCCGCCCCCCGGGCCCACGTCTCGAAATCCGACCAAATTTAAAAAACTAGAAAGCTCATTCACTCACAAGTCTAANTTAACCATAACAAATTCATCAAAATCCGACATCGTTTGGTCCTTCAAATCCTTAAATTACTCTCCAAAAATTCCAAGCCTTAACCCCTCATTTTCACTAATTACAATAATTAAACAACGGGAAAATCACCATATATACGAGTATTAGGCTCAAGTAACTTACCTCAATGAAAACCCCCTTGATTCCCTCTTCAAAACTCTCCAAAAAGCTCCAAATCCGAATAGAAATTGTGAAGAATGCCCAAATATTCGCGCAGTGTTCCTATATACCTTCTGTCCAGGCATCTCGCACCTGCGGCCCCTTTTCTCGCACCCGCGCGACCGCACCTGCGGTCCAAGGAGCCGCACCTGCGTAACTCACTTATCCGCCCAGACTCCGCATCTGCGGCAAACCCGTCGCACCTGCGAAGGCGCATCTGCGCGTTTCCTCCGCTTCTGCGAAGCCTGCCCAGCATTCCCCTTTCCGCATCTGCGCCCCAGGTTTCGCAACTGCGGGCTCGCAGATGCGACCTCCAAATCACATTCCGGACGTACTCCTAAGTCCAAAATCACCTAACGGAGCTAACTGAACCATCAGAATTCAAATCCGAGATCGTTTACACATAGGTCAACATCCGGTTGACTTTTCCAACTTAAGTTTCTACTTAAGAGACTAAGTGTCTCAATTCACTCTAAAACCACTCCGGTCCCGAACCAACTAACCCGATATAACATAATATAGCTGAATAACACAAAAAGAAGTAGAAATGGGGAAAACGGGGCTATAACTCTCAAAACGACCGGCCGGGTCGTTACAGATGTAATCTACCACGGGCTTGTCTTTCCTTTGCTTGGTGCCTGCCAACTTTATCATGCTTACAGTTCAGTAAAAACGATTGAGGAATTCCTTCTTAAGTTGCTCTCAACTATCAACTGACTCGGGCTTCAAATCAATATACCAGTCAAATGCGTTCCCTTTCAGCGAACGAACAAATTGTTTTACCAAAATGTCACCATGCGTTCCAGCATTGCTACAAGTCTCGACAAAGTGGGCAATATGTTGCCTTGAGTTTCCTTTGCCATCAAATTGATGCAGCTTTGGTGGTTGATAATTGGTTGGCATAGTTAGACAATCAATCCTCTTAGTATAAGGCTTAGAGTAATACAACGAACTTTGTGATGGTCCGCCATATTGAGCTGTGATGGTGTTTGTTATTATGTCTTTCAATTGTTGGACAGATAACAACCGAAGTGGATTGTTTTTCCTTCTGAATGCTGAACTTGGCAAGCGATTCCTCAACAACCATTTTTTGCGAGGTGAAGACAGGTGAACGAGGAGGGACGTGGCTCGACTCTCCAGGTGCATAGGCCTCCAATTTGTTCATGAGTTGAGCGATTTGAAGGTCTTTGTCTTCAACAGATTTCTTCAAGACTCCTATAGTCTGTTCCATCATGGCAAATTTTTCGTCCACGTTAGTTGCGTCAGTCATTAAGGCGTTGACTTTCGTTAAAACTGAAGAATCCACAAAATCCTCAAATCCACCAAGGTTGGAGGCTGTTTGAAAAAGTTCGTCAAATAGCAAGAATGGGGTGTTGCCCCCAAAGATTGTAGTTGCAGATGTCATGTGAGATCTGCTCTTCTTTGAGATCACTTGAACTTGCTTCGAGTGATCGGGCCAACATGACGGAGCTCAACGGATGCGGCAGTAACATCTTTGCATGGAACATCATCACACTTCCGGAAGGCCACTGCAGCAGTAGATCTGAAGTTTGTAGTTTTCAACTTATAAAAGGAAGAGATGAAGGGTAGAACTGGTCCCACTGGGCGTGCCAAAATTTGTTCGCAACAAATTTTCGTAGTACGGAAAATAAATTGCAACAAAAATAATATGAAGAAAAAAGATATTTTATTAATGAATATTTGTGAGTACAATTCTATGTATCCCTTGGTTTTTCTATTTGAAATTCTCCGTGATTCGAGGGCTTGAGAAATATTTTTCTTGAATGTAGGATGATGCAAACCTCCTTGTGATGTATTTAATCGTCAAGAACGTCGAGCAGCGCTTCGTTGTTTCGGGTTGATCTCCGGAATAACTCCGTTAATCACTCCTTTGTCGAAGAACTTTGCACTTGATGATTGATCTCTCTGTTTGCGGTTGCCTTCACCAATAGCGGAATTCTCTTCTCCAACTCCGAATGTCCTTAAAGTGTTATGTAACCCCTCTATTTATAATGGTAGAGGATGGACAATCCAGCTACATATGAACTCTCGTGCTTGATTCTGACTGGCTCATGTGAGTCATCTAACTTATCACATAAGTTATGTGATAATTGGCCAAGACATGTCATTTTAGACACTTGGCAACTCTTGATTGGTCACTATTTTAGGCTGGGATTGCCACATCATTTCACACGTGGCGTGATCTTGTTGGCTTTGAGTTTGACTGGATATGCCATGTCACTTGACACATGGCATGAGTCTGGGCCTTAAGATGAAATGGACCTTGGGCTTGAAAATAATAAAATGGACTAATTTAATGTAAAGTCCAAATTAATTATTCAACCCAAATAAAACTAAGATTCAATCCAAATTTTATATGGATTAAACTTAATAAATTTTATATGTCTACAAGGACGAAACTGTTAAGTTGGTTGGGGCACTAGTTGGAACTTGCGTTATTGTGGTTTGAGTTGATGCTGATTTGTAACTCGCAATATATAAAGGTGATGGTCATCATGTCTACATGCATTATTGGGATTTCGGAGGTTACGATTAAAAATGATTGTGTAAATTTTATGCTCTTAGGTACAAAGACTCATTCCTTCATCATCCTTTTATTTTGACTAGACAAAGGGTAAAGGGCATATCTGGGGAAGTTTCGGTTCCTTCTCAATTTTGGTGGAAGTATTCTTCCAATTAATTTTGTTGACATGGTAAATGCATTGTGTAATTAAAGTTGCATAATAACAACATTGTTCATGTTGCAATTATCTTTACTTCATCAAAAAGGCATTTATTTGTGCTGCAGACGAGCAGTTGATCATCTTCACCAGTTTTGAGATTTTCAAAATGTAGGACTGTATTAAGTGCTTCATACTAGTTGGTGTTACAGCAGATGTAAGATGAATCAATTCACTATTTCATGGTGAATCAAACTCTGAGTTTCATTTTTGCAGCTTGGAAACTGCCAATGTGGTGGATCTCTTAGATTCTGCTGTTCTATCTCGCCTAGTTGATATCATGAGGACGTCATCCGCAGATTTGCAGAGGAAATCTGCTTCAATCCTTGAGTTCGCCGCAGTTATTGAGCCATGCACGGAAAAGATCCTGTCTGTTGACCTAGAAAGTGGGCTGGATGCTGTTTTCCAGCAGAAAACTTTAAATGGTATGAGAGATTACTTTCCCGCAATCCTCATTAAGGCCCAGTCTGTCAGAAAGTGTGGCTTCACTTTTCCCTTTTTAGTAGGTTTCTTGATCCCTCTTTGAAGTACGTAGTAGTCTGTAACTGCTGCTGTTCAACATTACATGGTAATATGGAAGTCTTAGGAAATCTTCTGGAGAATACTACCTTGAAGAAGGAAACCATGGTTTCTGTTTGATTTCAAGGAATGTCAATGTGCTTGTAAATTTCAAAAGTAGTGCCTCCTACTACCAAAGTAGGAGATTAGGATGTTCTTTTCTGGCATTTAAGCCACAAATTATGCCCCAAGAACTTACAATCTATGTTGCGCGGACTCTCCAAAATGATGCCGCACCTGTGTCGGATCCCCCCAAAAATACACTATTTTTGGAGGATCCGACACGCACCCGGCAAAATTTTCGGAGAGTCCGAGCAACATAGCTTACAATTAATAGTTTTCCTAGTTCACCCCAGGCCTGTACTGGTTACATTTTGGATTCAGTTGTGATCCACAACATTTTACCTTCCATTTACACCAAATTATTATCACTCACTTGCCAATCACCTCTCTCTCTCTCTCTCTCTCTCTCTCTCTCTCTCTCTGGGTACATGTACAATTCTACTTTCCACCTTTCAGTTTTTTCATTCATCCTGTTTGTCTATGCTTCAAATACCCTGAGTATGCTTAGCAAATTCACCAATATTACTGTTCATGTGTCTCTGAGCTTCTTTGGTGAGGAAATGCCCAAACTCCAGAAGTGCTCAGCATATACTAAGTTCTTGACAATAGTGGTGTGCCTTTTGTGTTCATTGCTTTACTGTTACGTAGTATATATTTCTCTTCAGTTCTGTGGAAATGCTCATTCTTAACCACCACAAGTTGATTTTTGTAACTGAGTAAACCTGTAGACTTACAGATGACTTGGGAGTTCTTACATTTGTGACCAGTTCACTGTTTTCCTCAGGTCGGTACTGAGTAAATCATTCTTTAAGCGGAAACTGGAAGATAAATTGGTGGTCAGTGATCTGCCTTAATCTGTTTATCTAAGACAAGAAAATTTTAGCATAGGGTTTTCACATTCATGGGCTGCAGAGACTTGCTTTAGTCTTTTGATTTATATAGCGTAGCCAGCATACTGGAGGCTGTTTCAAGTAGTTTCTAAAAGATGATTCTCCACAGTTTGACTTGTTAGCCATTTAATAGCTCGTTCCTAATTTATGTTACTTGGCTAAACGAAGAAAACTTAGAAGCACGGTGGATGATCTGATGATATTTAGTCAATTTTCTTACTTTGGTGGTGTGGGGATCCTATGCTAAATACTAGCCTCTATCAAGACTTGAGAATATTTGCCTTAAATTCTATTGGAAATAAATAACTTGCTGGATTCATCATGATATTGCAGACGCAGAATCTGAAATAGATCTGCAGAACCCGGAACTTCATGCGCTTGAGGTTGAAGAGGCTGGTCATGCGATATCTGCAGCATCCCGGCTACTTACAAGACTGCTGGACTTTGAGCAGTTCTGTCGTAAAGTAAATGCATCTCATTTCACAAAGTTATTGCGAAAGGTTCTCAAATCAGACATCCCTCTTTACCACAAAGACTGGGTTGCTGCCTGTCTTGTGAAGCTCCGCTATCTCTCTGGTCCATATTTTGACTATGATACTCCGATCAACTTAGAGGTAACTCTTTATGAGACGATCCCAAGGCTGGTAGAACAGATCAAGACTTCATATTCACCGGAAGTACAAGAGGCTGCTGTTGTAGAACTCAACAGAATAATGTCTGAAGAGGTGGTGAATTCCACCAGAGCCGTGGCTGCCGAGGGAGGGATATTTACATTGGTGAAGCTGCTCGAAAATGGGAGTGAACGAGCTGTTGAAGCATCTCTAGCAATACTGTATAATTTGAGCATGGACAGTGAGAATCATGCTGCGATTATAGCTGCAGGAGCTGTGCCAATTTTGAGAAGACTTGTACTATCGCAAAGGTCACATTGGATGCGAGCGCTGAGATTGCTTAGGACATTACCTACATGATGAATTCAGCTAAATTCTTACCAGTTGTAATATAAGAATTATGAGTTCATCTTGTTAGTCATATAGCCCTTCTTTATACAAACCCTCTATTTAGTCTTCAAGCTGATCTCTTCTGTGATGAGAGAATTTTGTGAATTGAGCCAGGAACAGATATTTAATGCTATGTATCTTATACAGAGACAACTGTGTGGCCTTCAAAGAATTGGGTTTAGTTCTTTATTTTTTGTTTGAAAACTAAATTGTTTTTCCAAAGCTAAACCAAAAAAAAGAGAGATTATTATTCTTATAATCATTAATTAAATGAGACCCATACTTATTTTTCAAACTTCTATAATTTAATAAGTGGTTACAAGCTGAAATATGTTCCAAAATCATTATCTTGTGAAATCCATTAATTGACATCCACGGAGATTTCCATAATTACTTATGGTTTCGTAAAATATTACAATTATTAGTTGAATAACATGTTCAACAACCTTAACATATGGTAAAAGTATAAAAAAGATATACCCTAAAATACGGTAGTTCCCTACATGGAAGGAAATTAGAATGATAGAGAGAAAATTGGGGCGTCTTGTACAAGGATAACACATGCAAATTGAGAAATAGTCCAAAACCGATAATAAGAATATTGAATTTTTCCCTGCAAAGAAGACAATCCATGGGATATTTTTGAGGAATTCCTCACAAAATACAACTGCAAAGACAATTTCATTCTATAACAAAAAAAGTGTAAACAAACATATCCAAAATGATTGGACTAAAGTTCATCTCTATGGCAAAGCCTCGGAAAATACTTGCATCTTCATCTCGACCCACTGACCCTTCACCTTCTCTTCCATCTCCTTCTCCTTCTTCTAATAACTTAAACCCTCCACTCCTCAAATCCCAACCAAGACTGGAGCTGCAGAAGAAAAAGAAGCAGAATCAAAGGCAACTTTCAGTTGCAGAGATTGAAAGAGCCATTGGTGCTGGCATTTTCCGAGACAGAGATACCAGCAGGCAAATATCCTTTACTTTTTCCAACATACTACTATCTTGGTGTTGCTATTTTGCTGGATCTTTCAAAAATATTGTCTAGCTAAGCTAATCTAAGAAAAGATTCATTGCTCTGATTTGTTAAGGGAAGCAAAGGAGAGCAAGACCTCGTTTGATTCAATTTTGTCAAATTCTGAAGGAGATGTGGAAAGGAAGCTAAGGGAAACTGATGAATGGCTTATTGATAAAACTGAAGACATATCTGCCTCTGCTGGTAGTAAATTCCTTTTATATTTACATCTTTTATTAACTACTTAACAATCTTAAATTTTTGTTTGTTGTCACAGGAAAGAAGATTTTAGTTGTTGTGTTTAAATGGATTCTACCCTTGTGGATTCTTGCATTTCTTGTGGCTTCTGGGATGGTCAATCTACCATTTAGTACCCCATTTCTTGATGACTTACTTCTGTAAAGCAGTTTAAACTCATAGAGACTTTATGTTACTTTCTCTTTTATAAAATATATGTACTACTTCTTCCTTAATAAAGAGGAAATCTGGACAATAAACTACTTAAAAGCTGAAAAATAATTTCAAAAGATCAATGTGTTGAAGCCAATGTTGAAAAAAATAAGAGAAGGGGTTGAGAGCTAGCTGACTTGGTGAGCTCATTTTTTTCCGCAGTTTAGGTGGGGGGTTCAGAACTCATTAGTAGCGTTGTATCCCCTCTTACCCTCCCCCCCAAACCCTTTCCCCCCTCCTGATGTTAAAAAAAATCAAGAGAAACATGGTTTGTAGATATCTAAAGAATATGATCTAAGCTTGGACGTAGTTATCGCGATCTATATAGTTTAGTGATAGTAGTTTCTTCTACCTCTGGCAGAATTTTCAATTCTGGCGCGTTTGAAGAGAATGTGTTGAGAAATATGATTCTGTATATATATATCCTCTTTGCACCATTTTGTGTGTTTCTCACAAATTACATGAAAACATTATGTTTAAATGTCGTATTTAAATGAGAATGGCTTGTACTCATGCATTAGAGACGGATTCAAAAAAATGCTAAAATGTCACAAGCTTTATCATTACAATGATATCTTTCTTTGTATTAATGAGATTGATGTAACGACCCGATCGATCGTTTTGAGCTTTAGCGTTTCATTTGGTGGTTTGAGACTTTGAGTAGCTTCATATGATGTATAACTTGAGTGTATGGTCGGTTTTTGTTTTCGAGTGGTTCAGGATTGATTTTGAAGAATGACTCTTGATTTGGAAACTTTAAGTTGGAAGAGTTGACCAAGTTTTGATTTTAAACGGACTCGGAATCGGGTTTTAATTATTTCAATAGGTTCGTATGATGATTTGGACTTGTACATATGTTCGAATTTGGTTTCGGAGGTTCTTGGAAGATTTGACATTATTTGTTGAAAGTTGGCAATTTGAAGAACCTAGTAGTTCATAAGTTTGACCAAGAGTTGAGTTTGATGTTATTGGACTCCAATTGGTGTTCCGAGACTTTGGATAGATCTATATAGTTGAATTGAAGTTGTGTGCAAAGTTTGAAAGTAATCTGAAGTATTTACGTGTGATTCAGACATTCTTTTGAAAGAATGGAGATTTAACAACTTTAGAGAAATTCTATTCGGTTTGAGCCTCGATTCTTTGTTGTGATGTTCCCGTGGGTGTTTTGTGGCTTTGGATAAGTTTGGATAATATATTTGTACTTGTTGGTATGATTGGATGGGATCTCGAGTGCTCAGGTGTGTTTTGGATCATTGGTTAAGAAACTAGTTAAGTCAAGGATTTGGAGTTTGATCATGGTCAATATCGGGTTAAGGTGACCTCTTTTTGATATTTTGAGTGCGCGAGCAAGTTTGTAGCATGTTTTATGATTGAAATGCATTTATTGTTTGTGTTCGGGAGGTTCTGAATGTGTTTTGGATGCTAAAATGATGATTTTCTTATTGCTGTTTTTTTGGGTGTAAATAATTACGAAAATGCCATTTATGTCACTGAAATTTTCAGACTTCCTTTAAAGCTTCAAAATATCATATCTCCCTCATTTTAAGGCCAAATTCGGTGATTCAAAAAGCTATCTTGGGTGTAATCTCGCAAGGATCATGTTGGGCTTATCAAACGTGAGTTTCAAGATCATCTAAGATCTGATTCGGGCTGGGACAACTGCTGTGTTTTTACTTATTTCGAAATTTAGTTACTTGTTCTCATAAGGTTTTGGAGTTACGTTTTGGGCGATTTTGGAGGGAATTTTCACTACTTGGATTGAGGTAAGTATCTTGCCTAACTTTGTGTGGGGGAACTTCCCAGTAGAATTTGGTTTAATTGCACTACTTGAATTATGTGAAAGATGGTGACGAGTATGTACACGGGCTTATATGTGATATTTGACCGATTTAGACTTTTATGCCTTTAATTGAATTTGTTATTATATGGAACACCTTTCATTGTTGATTTATTTCCCATTTCTTTTTGTTGTTGTTGAAACTATTGTACACCTTGTTGTTGAGCCGTGGGTTATATATTATTGTGACATTGGTGTTGTTCTTTGAGAAATATTGTGGAATTGGTGTTGCACCCTATTTTGCACGAGTCAAAACAAGATTCAACTAGTGGTTTCCCTGTTGTTGATGAAAAAGAGTCACCACCTAATATTTAAAGGTATACTAGGGTACCTATTTAGATTATTATCCTATTAGTCTACTAACCGGTGAGATTTGGGGTAAGATTCTTGTTCTTCTAAGGGGTAGGTGTTAGGCACCCCCTAGAATCTACCTGAGGTAGCTCCATAGGACTTACACTAAGTTTAGAAAATTAGATTCGGAATTAAATTAAAAGAACAATTCCTATTTAGAAGCTTAAATAGAAAGAGTTGACCGGAGAGTTGACTTTTGAGCAAACAATCCTGGAATGGAACTTTGGTGATGTCAATAGCTTCGTATGGTGATTTCAGACTTAGGCATGTGTCCGGATTTGGATTTGGAAGTCCGTAGGACAATTCGACACATTTTGGCAAAAGTTGAAAAATTGAAGATTTTTGGAAAGCCCGACCGAAGGTTGAATTTTTGATAACGAGGTCAGATTTCGATTCCGAAAATCTGAATAGCTCCATTACATCATTTATGACTTGTGTGCTAAATTTGAAGTCATTCCAGATTGATTTGATAAATTTTGGCGCAAAAATATAGAAGTTGAAAGATTTGGAAACTCATAATTTGATTCGATGCGCGATTGGTAATTTCGGCGTTGTTTGACGTGGTTTGAAGCCTCGACTAAGTCCGTATTGTATTTTGGGAAATGTTGGTATATTTGGTTAAAGTCCCGAGGGACTCGGGTGGATTTTGGAAGGTTAACAGAGCAATTTGGACTTGAAGGAAGCCGCTGAAAAATGGCAGCAACTGTTGGAATCGCACCTGCGGAATTATGGGCGCATGTGCGACAATCGCAGAAGCGACTGAAGGGGTAGCTGAGAAGGGCCGCAGAAGCGGCAAATGGTGCGCAGAAGCGCAAGGGCAACCGCAGGTGCGAAACTGGGCAGAAATTTTCTCGCAGATGCGAGGGTCAAATGGGCAGTACACTTTCGCAGAAGCGTGATTTTCCTCGCAAAAGCGAGCACGCAGAAGCGTGGAAGCACTCCGCAGGTGCAAAACTGGGCAGCAACATAAGGATTGAACTTGGTCATTTTTGCCATTTCGTATTGGAAATTTTGGAGCTCGGATTTAGGCGATTTTGGAAGGAGTTTTCACAAACTTAGTTGGGGTAAGTGTTCTATATCCTAAAGTGTTTATATTTTATGAATCTATGATTATATTCATCGTTTAATGGAAGAAATCAAGATTTTTGTAAAATTTTCCAAAAACGAAAATTTAAGATTTGGAGGTCGAGTTGTTATCGGAATTGGATAAAATTGGTATGGTTGAACTCGTATCAGAATGGGTGTTTAAATTTCATGAAAATTATATCGGGTTCCAAGAGGCGGGCCCCGCGTTGACTTTTGTTGAATTTTTGGAATAAAATTTAAGTCGAGCGTATTATTATCCGAAATTATTTTTGATGAATTTTAATGAAGTTGTACAATTAATTTGGATAGATTTGAGCTGTCTGGAGGTCAATTCAAACAAGAAGGCGATTTTGAAATATCGGCATAACTTCAAAAAGGTAAGTATCTTGCCTAACCTTGAGTGGGGGAATTACCCCTTATGCATCGAGTCTTATGTGGCATTTGTGAAATGTGAAAAGCCGTGTACGTACTCGTGTTTATATGTGCAAAATATATTGGGTTAAAGTCTTAGGCATATTGTGTAGTAAATTGGATAATTGTTGGCATTCATTTAATTATCTATTTGCCATGCCTCAATCCGCGTTTGTTGAATTTATTTTTATATGACAATTTGATATGATTATTACTTGTATATTTATGTGGATTCCGTGAATTTGATGATTTGATATTTCTTGGAATTAAATTTCATTATGGATTTTTCATCTGCAAATAATTAATTAAATGAGCTTAAGAAGAGGTGTTTATATAATTATTAAGAATTTGGGTTAATGAAGGCGTTGCCCTATGCTGAGTAATTTCTATCTCTATTGATTGTTTTGAGGTTTTATGCACATTGTGAGGAACCTTCGGATATTTGTTGTGAAATTAATTGAGTTGTTATATCTTTGGAATTGGTTGTTGCCATTGGGCAAATTGTGATATGAATTGATTTTGTTATGTTGCCGTGATAATATTCCGTGTAAATTATTGTGTTATTTGAGTTTTTATTTTGAGGATATAAGGGTGACATTCTACTGTTGATATTGTATGGGTATAAGGGTGGCATTTTACTGTTGTTATGTGTGTTGGGATATTGTCTGGGCGGAGTGATAAGGGTAGCTAAAGGAGAGATAAGGGTAGCTATAGGAGCGATAAGGGTGGCTATTGATATTGTCAGGGCGGAGGGATAAGGGAGGCTATTATAAAAGTGATAAGGGTGGCTATAGGAGAGATAATAGTGACTATTGTCAGGGATGATATGTGATGATGTGAAGTTATTGCGTTGGTAATTTTTATGTGATGTTGTGATTTTCCTTATGTTTATTTTTATACCTTGTGCAATTTATCTTGTTGTTGGTAAATTGATAATAGTCTGATTTATGTTGAAATTGGGAGCCTATGGCTATTGCCAGGCGGATTATGAAAAGAAACGTGGGCACGAGGTGTCGTGAGTAAATAATAATGATATTGGCACGTGAATTGTCCGTGCAGTTGAGATATGAAACATGGGCACGGAATGTCGGGGAAATTATGATGGTTTTATTATTGGCACGTGAACTGTCCGTGCAGATGTGATATGAAAAGTGGGCACGAGGTGCCGGAGAAATATGATGATTTAATTAGTGAAAATATGAAAGTGGGCCGAGACCGGTATTTTATGATTGTTCTTAAATGAGGTGTCACAGGGTGACTTTTATTTGAAAGATATTTATTTGAGGAAATTATATTTGAAAGAGATTTATTGAAAGAATTATATTTGAAAGATATTTATTTGAGGAAATTATATTTGAAAGAGATTTATTGAAAGAATTATATTTGAAAGATATTTATTTGAGGAAATTATATTTAAAATAGATTTATTGAAAGAATTATATTTGAAAGAATTATATTTAAAAGATATTTACTTGAGGAAATTATATTTGAAAGAGAGTTATTTGAATGACTTATATTTGTAAGATATTTATTCGAGGGAATTCTATTTGAAAGAGATTTATTTGGAAGAATTATATGTGAAAGGTATTTATTTGAAGGACTTGATTTAATTGGGTGTACTTGTATTTATCATTTGTTGAGCGATATTAATGGTGTTCTTGTTGCCTTGCTGTGCATATCACTAGTTGATTTGTGTTGCCCTTATTATTATTTGTTTCCTATTATTTTGTATATCATATTACACAGGTTATTAGACTAGTGAGTGTCTTGACTGTACCTCGTTTCTACTCCACTGAGGTTAGTCTTGATACTTACTGGGTACCGACCGTGGTGTACTCATACTACACTTCTGCATATTTTTGTGCAAAGCCAGGTATTGGAGATATCAGACTCGGACAAAGTCAGAGTGGGATCGCAAGGATTCAAGATAGAGCTGCTTGGTCGTCGTAGTTCCTTGGAGTCTTTCCATTTTATTGTACTGTTAATTATTATTCAAAAAGTATAGAGTATTCGATCCTTGAGATCATTTCATGTATTCAGTTAGAGTTCGTGACTCTGTACTACCAGTCTTGGGAGGTTTTCATATTTGTTTCCGCTGTTGATTTTGATTACCTATTTAATTCATATTCAAAAAACAAATGGCTTGAAATGTAATTTTACTTGACTTACCTAGTCTTAGAAACTAAGTGCCATCATGACGCCTGTGGTGGATTATGGGTCGTAACAAGTTGGTATCAGAGCTCTAGGTTCATAGGTTATACGAGTCACGAATGAGTCTAGTAGAGTCTTGCGGATCGGTACGGAGACGTCTGTACTTATCTTTGAGAGGCTACAGAACTGTTAGAAAATTTCCACTTCTTTCATTCTTGTCGTGCGAAATTTGTTGAATTTGGAATTTGAAGCCTTTGTATCTTTATTCTCTCACAAATGGTGAGGACACGTGCTACC